ACTGTTGTTTTAAATCAGAGCTCACATCTGTTGCTTTAAGTGCTTCTGTGCTTTCTTCCTTTCCTGCTATGATCAGATGGAGGTTTGTTAGTGTCAGCTACAGCAATGTGAAGGCTTCCTCAAACCAATGGGGATGTGTGGGGGGGTGGGATTGACAAGAGTTTCCAAGCACCAGGGAACAAATTCAACCTTTTCTCATTGGTTTTGAGACACTGTGACTTAGTTTTTAGAGAGAGAGAGATCAAAAGGTTTTATGTGTGAAGCAATTTGCTCTAAACTTTTCCCTGCTCCTTTACTCTTTAACTTTGAATCGCTTGTGGGTAAGAAGAACTCATGGTTGCCCAAGCTCCAGACTTCATCCTTCATCATGGGCTTCTCCCCCATAAATTGCTCTACATCGCCTTTCAGATGCATCTATTCTTTTAATCTACATAACATCCCCTATGGAAGAGAACTGTGTTTAATTGTTTGCAGAAAAAGAACTTGATTTCAACCTTTCCAGCCTGTAATTTCATCTGACACCCACAGCTCCTGAATTAGAAGGAACAGCAATCATTCAGCTTTTACCTGCTGCAGACTAGTCCCCCTCCTGCCCACAGGCATTATTTTGCATCCAAGACTGAATTTCATGTGCTACTTACTATTTAGTTTCTTACTATCATGACACCATCTGCATGCCTTTGCAGGCATCTTTCGCTTTGATGACCCAAAATAAATTTAATACCATCAGCAAAGGACACTTGCTTATGACCCATCCCCTGCATTGCAACATTTCAGTGAATACCCAGAGTTCTTGGGGATTGTAATTCCAATCACTATGTCCTATCTTCTAACCAGTAAAATGGGCTCAAGCTGCGACAGGGGAAATTTAGATTGGATAGGAAAAATTTCTTCATGGAAAGGGTTGTCAAGCATTGGAACAGGCTGCCCAGAGAGGTGGTGGAGTCACCATCCCTGGAAGCATTCAAAAAAATGTGTAGATGTGTTACTTTGGGACACGGTTTAGTAGGCATGGTGGTGTTGGGTTGCTGGTTGGACTGATGATCTTAGAGATCCCTTCCAACCTAAATGATTCCTAGTTTTTACTTTCATTAAAAATAATCCAGCCACCAAGCCAGGAAACACAAAATTGCTACTCTACCCTTAATTGGTTTAGTGTTAGACTTGATAATGTTATGTTAATGGTTGGACAGGATGATCTTAAAGGTCTTTTCCAACCTAAATGATTCTATGATTCTATAAATCCAAAAGAGGACCGGTCCCACCTTATTCTACTAATTTTTAAAAACTCCTTTCCTTTTTGCTTTATGGCATAACGTTTGCCCCTTGGAAAGCATTTGGCAGACCAGTATCAAGCTCTCCAGGGAAAATCCTCCTTACGAAGCAGTCAACCAGCTGGAAAGCTGTCTAGCGTTGTGGTGAGCTGAATGGAAAGACCCATGAAGCAGCCCCTAGACTGCACTTATTATTAAGTAACAAAGTCAAACAAAACAAAACCTCTGCTGAAATAAATCCCTTCTCCTTCAAACCTGGGCTACAAACCATTGGTAGTCAAGATGATATCCTACAGGTGCCCTGATCATCACATGCACCTGATGTTCCTTCACCAGTATGAAGTGACTGGAGCCCACACAAACTTCTTACAGCACCAGGGCTGTCTCTCCACAACCTTCTCAAATTGTAAGAAAAAGATAAAACAGAGACTGATTACTGCTCAACAATGAGTAATGTTCTGCCAACCTGGCAATCTCGAAGAAGGGAGAGTCTAAATAAAACTCCATCACTCAAAAAAGCTACATGGCCACCTTGCAGCCTGAAAATGGCCTGCCAAGCAACAGCAGAAAAACACCCCGTAAGCTCTCTTGCTAGAACAATTTGAAATAATTTCATTATACCATAACAAGCATTCAATCTTCCAGCAGTCTTCACATGCCGAAACTTCTCAGATTTACATTATACCTCGTCTTGCTGAAAATTCTTCATAACTGATATTTTACCCTAGGCTCTGATTTTTTTTAAAATATTTTTTTCTGATTTCCTTGAAAAAAAATATTACATGCATCTCAAAAATGTGTTGTCATCCTCTTTGGTGCAGAAAATAATTTGGTTTTCATCTGCTACTGAAAGGCATGCTCTGTGGCCCCAGCTAAGATCCCACTATGGGGCTTCTTCCAACAGTATCCCATAGCAAATCAAATCAAGAGCAACTTGTCTCACAGAACTGGCATGCTAACAAAGACTACAGTTTTCCCTGTATTTCTTCAGTAAACATACCACACTGCTAAGCCAGCTTTCTTGACAAATCTCACACTTTGAAAGACAGTAGAAAGTGGGATTGAAAGGACCTTGTGAGATCACCATATGTCTCTTCTACCCCAAAGGAGATGGTCTACACTTAAACCCATCCAGAGCATGTACAAGCGCAAAGCACTTAATATGCTAGAGCCAATCGTTCTTTACTGTGGCCTTAGTTTCCCTATAAATATACAACTGGGGTGTATATGCTAATGACAAATGCATCCCAAAAGCAGCGAAGACCATGTTCTCCTGCATCAGCCACAAAAGCAGCAAAAGTACGCAAATAGTCAGCACTCTATCCCAAGGTAACTGGGGAAGGAAAACCAAGCAAAACATCAGAAATCCATTTTTATGAAAAATATGACTATCATGTAGTTGATTACTAGTTTTAAAAAGCTTTTCCTAGAAAACATGAAAATATCTGTTGGGATCACTAAAATACTGCACAAAAGTCAGCAAATGTGTTATTTAATATTTAAGGGTCTGTGGAGACAACTGACCAGCAAGTTAACTGCAAACACTATCTTTGTTACGAGCATATCAATACTACCAGCTCTGTGGCGTTTCCTGCCTTGATTTAGGATTTAATGCAAGACTTCTGGGACCATGCTAGGCTCAGGCACTGTCTCTACTTGTTACCATTCAGTCTTCATTTGCAAATGATAATTTTTGCTTTGAATGGCATGCCTGACTGGAGGGCAGAGTAAATCCAAACCTTTTAAACTCTAGCCAGAAATTTGCCATGAATTAGGAGACTGCAGCATACAATACAAATAAAGTATCTCTACGAGTGTTCAGCGGTGGCAGTATGAATAAATGACGATTATTCTTTTTTTTTTTTTTTTTTTTGACGGGATAATTTTCAAAGCAGCGATTTTGCAAAGACTCAGGAAGAAAACAATTTTGTCTCATTTCCATAACAGAATCCAGACCTCTAAATTCAACCTCACGAGCTACAATTATGCATAAGAACTACCACTGTGAATTTTCAAACACAATGCCTTTTATTGTCTCTTCTCATTCTTGTCCCTTCCTGTTCTCCCAGATTTTCTGTGCTGTCACCCTCCACAGAAACTTTAGAGCAGAAAGCCTGACTTGAAAGGAAAACTTTCAAGTTTTCAGGCTTCAAAGGAAAACAGCAACACAGACCTTCAACACGAAGTATTTGAATGGTATTTGGGGTTTTTTCAGCCTTATGGGAACAAACAACAACAAAAAAGTCTTTTTATTATATGGAATCTTGACAGATGAAAACTAACACTCAGCTTTTCCATGACGGATGGAGGGGTATTTTAGTCACCTCCTTCAGAATTCATGCGTGATTGTCCCAGAGCTCGAGAATGAAAGATGCCAAACACTGAAGACTGCAATTCCCTTGTGCTGTGTAACCTCCAAGACATTTCATTCGAGGACAGTAATGTAGCCCAGACGCAAATACAGCAACTTACCATTTACAGGAACTTCCCTTGTCCTTCAATACCACTATTTTATTAATATGTCTTCCACCTGCACTAGGAGGCAGGCAGCTCTGAAGTATAAATACTGAAGATGAAACACCTACGCAGCACGAGCAGCATGAAAAGCACATCTTGCTTTCTATGTAGAAAGCATTTTTGGATTCAAGGGTTGCTTTCAAATGTAGTAACCTCTAAGCCATTAAACATCACTGCCTGGGAAATGAGGTTATTCCTCCTAAAAGCCAGAGACGAAACATGCCTATGAATGTCACACACACTTTGGTGCTCCAAAATAGTTCAAAAATCTTCACACTGCTTTTGAAGAAAGGCACGTGAGGCTGTTGCTGCAACCCTGCACCCCAGGCAGACCCTGTTTATGGGTAACATTTGGTTACAATTACCCACTTGATGGAATGCAAAGCAACAATTTTTGTTACCAATGGGACTGGGAGAACAAACAGGACATTATTTACACATTAAAGAGAGTACTCACCCCAACACCACCACAAGGAAGCCTGACAAACATCGACGTTAGAGAACCTGTAGGAAAAAAAATGTACTCAGTAGGTCAAAAAGTCAAAGTTCACCAGATTTTGATCCAATTTTATGGCAATGCTGCAAACTTTCTGAACACAGCAACAGACTGGGGTTTTCTTGCAATTTTCAGAAAACACACAGCCAACCCTGTTACTTTACAACACATATATACACAATATGCACACTTGGGCTTGTTCAAAAGCCTTTCATTATAAAAGCCTTCCACAAATCACTTATTTTTATGCAAGGTTTGTGCGCTCTCCTACATTTCAAGCAGTCATGCTGACTATAAATGATTCAGACATTACCAACAACTGCTCAGCGTGTCTTCTCAGATGAAGATTTTAACCCCTTTCAACTGAAGGAGGATAGGAAGTCATAAAAACCCCCTAGTTAGTCATCTGCACAGTTACTAGAAGACTTTGGAGCGCATGAGCTTCATAAAAGATGAAGACAAAAAATAAAACCGGTGATGAGCAAACAAAACGTGTTTTGACTGAAAGAGCAAACCCAACATTAAGAATTTGAGAAAAATGGGGAAAACCATCTTTAGGGCTAATTCTGCATCTGTAAGAATTTTAACATCACTTTCTGGGCTTGCATATGAGCAAATTATCCTCCATGCAAAATTCTGCAGGTTTATAAACTGCACACTGAAAAAAGAACACGCTGTCTCATATCCATCACCACCCTATGTGCATGATTTGTACACGTGTCTGTGCACTGCAGGCAAACAGGGAGAAGGAAATCTGTGCACGCAGGCACTGTAAAGGATCTGGAGTACATTGCCATAGACTCATTTGCTTGAGACCTATTTAAAGTTAATGAAAGCTAATGGTGAAATAAACTGGGTTGTTTTTTTTCCCCCACCAAACCAGGTTCTTGTTCTGGTCATGAATAAATTCCCTTAAATGCTAACCACCAGCTTTGTGGAGTGTGAATTAGCCATGACGGCAGACAGACGTTACTGAGGACCATGCTGGTGTCAAACACATCACAGAAAGATGCATTACCCCTGTGACTAAAAGTAGACTTAATGCACCCGTATTATTAATCTGAGTGCACAGACAGATTCACTCTTTGATTAGATCCACATGAAAGTTCTCAGATCATCCTGCCTCGGACCTCCTGTCAGATCTTTCACTGCTAATCCACCCATTATTTCGATATTTATCTTCTTGACAACAATTTATGATGGCTCTGCACAAATTAAAAGCAGCCTTATTTGCCTAAGTTTAAACTTGTTCAACAGGTTCCAAAGCTTTACACTGTCAAATGAGAGATGGATTCATATTTTTCATCCCCAGATTTTCAAGGGCTTTAGCAACACTTCCAGGGGTAGAGTTGTGCAACCTGCCTTGAAGGCAACCACCTTCCAAAATGCCTGATAAAACACAGCAAAGCAGATCTTTGTGATGGTCAGGGTCCTCTGGGGAAAGTAACTTCAACATCAGTGGTGGGCTTCCATTGTAAGTCTCTTCTCCTAACGTGTAAAGAAGGGCACTCTTTCAGAAAGGAGTAAGATTCAGAAGTAACAAGCTACAGGACAACTGCAGAAGTAAAAGTAACCAGCAGAGCCACAACGATGCCCGCGTACAATTCCAAAAAATCTGAACTATTTAGCCCCTTCCTGCTTTCTCCTAAAGAACTGCCAGACAAAGGGACATCCCCCTTACCATTTGCAGAAGCTTAAAAAGAAACATCCTGTGTTTTCATCCCCCAGCTTTATGAGCTCTTCCTTTTAGGCTGAGATTTCTCATGCTTTTTATTCCTCACAGACATATCAAAGGCAAAGAGTTTACCCCGAGTCAGCCACCCCATTGCAGTTGTACACATGTCAAGACACTTAGGTCTAACAAACTCACATTTGCATATGTGAGCCTCACACGAAGCTTTGGTCTCAGACTTCAAACCTGCCATACATTTACCCTCTAACATATTTAAAAAAACCCAAAGCTGTTTTGTAAATTTAAAAGCCTTTTCAACTCTCAACAGGAGAGGATGGCTGAAGAAGGCGCTCCTTACAGGCTTGCTCATCTCTATACACAAATGTACACACTGAGGTTTTTCAGGGAGGTTTTCCCAACACATCAGTGGCTGTTACCTTTGCTCAGGTCCAGCACTGTGGAAGCCATCAAGTTAAGAAACAGGTTTTAGGGCCAGCGTTACCCTTCCTGCCCTGCTCCCAAAGGATAACTTCTCCCTGGGTGCTATGCAGACATCCCAGCCAGGCTTACTCCTCTTGTCATTTTGGCTCTCCGTGCTGTCCCTCTGGACCCCTGACTGTCAAGCCATCAACTTATTTTCTCCTGCCTGGTGGGATGACTGGCAGCCACGTTGAATGGTGAAGCTGTTTGCTCTTCCTCCAAGCTTGGTGCTTGGAGCGAGCGTCAGTGCCAGCTGTGGCCCATGCACAGCTCCACGTGCAATGGGAGGACAGCTGGGCAGCGGGAAAGGCAGTCCACTTCTGTCTGGGCAAACATGGTCATGTGAGCTGGCAGAGAGTTCTGCTGCTAGTAGCTCAAGGCTGAAAAGGTGCCAAGTAGGTTTAGGAAACAAGGTCTAAGCTCAGCTAAGAGCTACTGGAAAACCCACTGGAAATCCTGGGGACCTGACCTCCTGGCTGTGGCTGCAGCCTCAGAAAGCTAAAGAACAGCTGCTTGGCAGTATTTTGGGGTGTGGCTAGAGCCCCAGGTGTAGCCCCAAGCAAGCTCCAGTCTAACATCCACAAACAGGTTAGTCTTAGAACTGATTTTTTGTGAACATTGCTCCTTGACAACTTGGTCATCTTTGCAAATTGCACCCAAATAGATAATGTTTTGTACTGAAATACCCTCAGATACTAGAATTGTTTCTCTTTGCTAGAGGAATAAACTTAATTGCTACAGAAAAGACATGGGGGGGGACAGCAAAACTACAGCAGTACTCACAGGCAGAGCAAGAGTTTCTCCTCCCTCAGGTTCTCTAAACAAACCATCAGGAATGATTCAGTAAGACCTGGGTATCCCCAAATCCAGTACTAACCAAATAAACTGTATCTCCAAATGTATCCATGGAACAGATACATTGATACAGATTGTGCCAAGAGTCAAAGAGGGAAGGGAAAAATATCTCAAGTGCATCTGACATTTGAATGAGCAGGCAATACACAGTGTTATCACAGCCCACTCTAAAAACATATCTTGCAAGAGGTATCTCCTAAAGCAGAGGGGTTAGGGTGACCCACTGCCTGCTCAGCCCCCACCATGCAGATGATGACCACTGCCAGAGGCAGGTCAGATGCTGGAGGACTGCCTGGATCCCACCACAGCACATGGTCAGGACACATGTCCTCACACACCTCCAGCACTATGGGTCAAGAATTTGCAGAGAAATCAGTCAGCATGAAGGTGGTGCAACTGCAAGCGAGAAGCCTTCTCAGACCCAGCGGGGAAAATTTACATGCTGTTTCTTTGGACTGGTGGATAAGCCTTATGCAAGGTGAGCTTTTTACACTACCAAGCATATGACATCATAAATTCTTTAAACTGTACATACTAATTGTGCTATCATTCAGCCAGAGGTGTCTACTTTTCGTTTCTCTGGGTTTTAAAGAGGTGGTAAGTTAGCTATAAATACAGTGCTAATTGCATGTTTAAACAACTGGCTAATAGCTTTCTTCTTTGGGGATCTAATGTACATACTGAATATGCTGCAAAATCTTTCCAGCTCTTTTGCTGTGACTACTACATCATGCGGGCCATCAAGTTAATCCTCTTTTTATATCATCCAAAGTCAAGCTAATCCCAAAATAAACTCCCAACTTCTAGGTTCCAGAACTGTCTTTTTGCTGATCCCCATGTGAGAACTTCCCAAACTGCCCCTCCAGCCTATCACCTACTGCTGCAAAAAGGCACAAAGTAAAGAGAGATGATGATGTCTCCACAGATGTAAGGTGCCAAAATCTATGTGGTTTGGTTGCTATGGGGTGGTTGGTTATCTGAATAACCACCCTCTAGATTTTTTGCAGGGAAAATGTCTATATTTTACGGCAGATGCAGCCCTGTTTCAGGAAGATCCAGTCTCCAGTAAGGGATAAACAATCTTACTCCAAATTAAACAAATGTAAGACTATCTAAGAGGCCCCCGCATCTCTCTTGCAGATCATCCATACAAAACTGACAGCTATTTGTGATGTCTATGCCGCTGGTTGGTGCTGCAGATGCAGGTCCTTAGTAGAGTGTTCCGGTTCCTACCTAGCAATGGATAACTTTCGAAGAGGCAGAGAAGAGTGTCCAAGGATAAAATAGACTCCAAATTATCCTTCCTCCTCGGAGAGAGTGCTTTTACATTTTGAAGACATCAAAGAAAGGAAGTTTTAGGACCTAGGGTTTAGGGATCTACCTGAAGAAAGGGAGACATATCTTGTGCCCCTCTCAAGCAAACATTAAATGGAGGTGGGAAGAATCCTCTTGGGAACTGCCTAGAGCTGAAGATGGATGGCCCCACGTCCCACTTTTCATACTGCTACCGCTGTGTGACTGCCAGAGTCAGGGCTGAGAACAGTAACGGGAGTGCTGGAGGTCAGGAAGGGGACACCACACCACACCACACACCCCCGATACCTAGAAGTTTCTTGCTGTCCAGTTTCTGTCTGTTCAGAGGGTTTGTGCCGTACAGCAGCGTATGGGCTTCTGAGTGAACTGTCTGCAGCTCTTCTAGAGTTGCTTTTCTTCCACGAATGCACTAAAAGAGGAAAGAAAAGGAGTGATGAAATCACTGCTTAACTGTTTAACTCTCATTAAAGAACTTTTCTTTTTCCTTAGCAAATTATAAAGACAGTGAGCAAAAAACTAAAATGGGCTCTTACGTGAAAAAATTCACTGTAAGACAAATTTTGGTTTAATCTCTTATTGAAAATACTAGCTTGACATATGAAGTAACCTTTTTTTTTTGTGTGTGTTTTAAAAATATTACTGCAGATCATTTGCTAAATTACACAGGTATTGCTTGACTACTGAATATTCAGGATTTCAGTTTCAAGCCATTATAAAGTGGTTCACTGTTGAAAATGCATCCCCCCAAGCCACCCCCAACACTTCCCCTCCATGATTATTAACCTAAAAACACTCCCAAAACACTGCTTTCCAAACTGAACCTTCTGAGTAATTAAGAGTCAGTTACAAAGTTTCTGCTCTAAAACTTATCTTGGAAATCCCATGAGATCATATAGTTGGAAATTGCTTTTTTTTTTTTTTTTTTTTTAATATGATGATGCACGTTGAGCTGGAAGTACCATACCAAATATGCTCACTCCTGCTTTTGTTGCCAGCTGAAACCCAGGAGGGCAGCAGATGCACACTGAAGTCAAAACCCTGGCTTCACTGCAGATCATGGCAAAGCTTTCACTG